TATTTGCTGACTTCTTGATGATATTTGAGCCTTCTATCGCCAAAAATCATCGATAGCATCCTGAAAAATATCTTCGACTGTGATACCAGCCATTAGCGCCTGTTCTAAAATGTTGATTGTTTGTCGAGTCAGTGGAGGGGGCGGGGCTTAGCCATAGGTCAATTTGCCATTTGCTCTGACATGATGCAGCGAATGTGGTTGGCTGCCTGTGTTACTGAAGCAGTGGACACTGTGATAGGGCCACTCCATCATGAGTGGACACTGAAAATCGATGACAGTGGAGAAAACATAACAGACCCATTTCTCATCTCCCTAATGTCCTCCTCCTTGTCCCCTCAATCCCTCTCCTCCCATCCTCCACTTCATACTCCCTGGTAGGAAGGGAGATGTGGGGAGGATAGGCAATGGAGGAAAGCAGGAGACACGATTGAAATGCAGCCAGGTTCTCATCGATGATAAAATATTGGTTGAACAACAAGTCACGACAATTTGCAAGTCAGGATTCAGCATACTTGAACTTGGCGCAACAAACAGCGGGTGAGATTTCTTGGCCTACGGCAGCGATTTTTTTCGCTTTCTTCACTGAAATAAATGGGAATGCGATTTTTTTACGCTCGTTCTTTGTATACATGTCACCGCACCTGAAAATAAACAGGCGATGTTTTGAGGCTTGCCGTCCTCGGCACCAAATGTCTGGCCCACCAAGTGACAGGGAAATCGCACATGTCAACCCCAGCAATAGCGTCGGGAGACACGGAAGTGTCCGTTTGCACAGAACGAATTAATCGCGTGTCAAGTCAGTCAGCGTCGACGGTACTCACCTGCACAAGTCAGCGAAGGCCAGGAAATTCAGCTTCTTCATCTTTTTCTCGCTGAGCCAATAGCCCACTCTCTTGCCTTTGAGAAAGGTCTGCATCTCCAGCTTTCTTGTTATTTTGATCCAGATGTGACAAATTATTCTAACTGAACTCCAAGTAAACCAGGAAACTGTCTTCCCGCACAAACCTGCGGATGAAACGGTAACGTGTGAATTGATATAGCTATTATCTGTCAAAACTGACCACCAAAACGTTGCGAAAAAACGTCCAATGGTAGGAAAGACCATAGACAGAAACAACTAATCAATATCAAAAAGCAGTATTATTGTTAGATGTTCATTCTAAGTCACTGTTCGTAGAGTCGGTTGCCCATAGCTACTTAAGATGCGTTAGCCTGACAGCTGCTCAGAGAAGGAGACGGTTCATTCCCTCAGTTTTAAACATCGAGTCTCATACCCCAGTCACAGTAACCAGTTAATGAACCATCCGGCAATTAATGGTTGATCCGAATCGAAATACGCCGCCAAGTCAACACAGCAGAATAGAAACTTGGCTAGCAAACGCTAGCAAGGTAATCGGGGTTTTATGATCACAACACTCTTAACATTCATCATCATAATGCCATTGATAATTCAGAGCTAACTAGCTATTACAGCTAACGGTACGAAATGAAGACGACCGAAAACAACTGCACATAAATATTGCAGATATATTTACCAGCTAATGCATTTCCACCAGGTTTTTCGTGGTCCTTGCTTTGCTAGCTAGCAACTTAGCTAGCTGGCTAAATGACCATTCTCCGTGCTCAGTTTGATGTCCAGATGCAGAATTTCTTAGCCTTTCTAAAAATGTGCTGCGGTCTTGTTTTCGTAAGGACCGGGTGAAAATGCGTCCTGACACAGTGGACACACCCTCCGATGTCTTGATTTGCTCATTTACTGGGTCTTACGGCAACGTGCACACTCAGCACCCATGGCACATACGGCAGCTACTGTACTGTGTGTCGGAGTGGTGCGTGTTGTTCCACAGCGACCAAAGGCGCTGAAGAATTGAACCTCCTTTAGCGTTCAGTCACAGCGTTAGCCTCGGAACAGCTCCCCCAAGTGGCAGCTGTATAAAATCGTTTGCTCTTTGAGGGGCAAAGAAGGTATTCGGGAAAAGTGGGAAGGTGTCACTGCTGTTACTAATTTTTATTCAAGCGAAGACGGGTGGTTGAACAATCATTTCGATGTGCTGTTTGGTAATATTGCATTTTAGTTCACTCCATCCTAAAGATTAATCGTGCAAACGTGTTGAAAGAAGCTCACTGTCATCTTAAGGGCTTGGGTTTCTAGACTACCTTTCCGATTGTGACAGTAGTCCACTAAACAATAACTTCAAAATAGGCTATCAGTGAAAATACCGAATACAATGGTACATATCACGGTATTTTTATTGATCTTTTTATTCTGATTCTTCTCAATGTCTCTCTGTCAAGACCTGTGCCTGATATTTCTACAAGTGGATAAAATAGTCCAAATATTACCGAGAATGAAATTAAACAGATGTCAGTAGCTGTCTGTCTTCCTTTCTTTGTATGACTCAGGCATTGGCCTAAATGATGGGGGGGGGAATCCATTACATTTTGATAAAAACTGTTTGAATTGGAGGTACACTTGGCACTTTGCTGCAATAATTGACAGTAAGCTGTGTTGTCACTAGACCCTTCGTTATTGTGAAACCTTACGGAAGGCAGAATATGTCAGAAGAGACTTTTGTATGTTTCCACTGAATTCATTAATAGTCTATGTTTAGTCCAATTTAATGAATGTTCTTTGTGAATATAGCAGTAAATCCTATCTTAATTTATCGTATTATAACATTAAATATACATTTAAGATTTGATGCCCGAATCCTCATGTCCAGAATAGACAAATCTTGTTGGTGGACTACAGCTCGGTATATTCCCAAAATGAGCGTATTCTCCCCATGGGTAAAATTCATGGTTTGACCTTTTAATGGCACTACTGGTAAGGGTAGTGGGTCCAAAAATCAAGAGAACTACTCTGGGCTCCAGGAATGTGTACAGCTAATTTTACTACATTCCCATGTGAAGTGGTTGAATTTTTCAAAAAGTGAAGTTTGGCCTCAAGCTAGCGCTACATGAAAGGCCATTGTGTCACCAGAACAGCAGGATTGTTCTTTTGTTCATAGCAAAGTTGACCTGATACCCAAAAGAACAGTATGACTTATTGCATTAGGAAACATAGTTTCTCCTGATGAAGGCACTACAGTAAAAGTAATGAGACCATCAAAATCAAAAAGGTTCTGCCTCTGGAATGCTGACAGCAGATTTGACAGGATTCTTATTTAAACTATTCAAGTTATTGCATTTTTAAAAATGAAGGGGGTGGCCTGGTGGTGGTACAACAGGAAAGGTCCTAGAGTCCCCCAACATTTCCCCTGGACACCAGGAAAAAACACACGAGGTTTGCCACAATGCCATCTGAGTTATTGCATTTGGAAATGTTATTTCTAGTTTAGTGGTGGTGCTACAGGAAACATAACAGAGCCACCACAAACAATAACTATCTCAATGCACCAGGAATGTTGAAAGCCAAATTGATATGATTCCTATTTAAGCTGTTCGAATCATAGATGTTTGTAAAATGAAAATTTTGGCCTGGTGGTGGTGCTAGTGCAAAGATCACAGGAAGACCAATATCAGTAATGGCCCTCCTCTATGCACCAGAAAAAAATCACTTGAAGTGAAACATGAGTCTGTTCAGACTCTGTTTGACTTATTGCATTTTGAAATATTAAATTTGGCTGAGTGGTAGGGATACGGATAACATTACAGAGCTTCCACAATAATTTACACACCTTTGCACCAGGAATTTTGAAATCAGATTCAACATGCTTTCCATCAAAGCTGTTTGAATTATTACAGTCTCGAAAAATTTAAATTTTTGCTGGTAAGTGGCACTACAGCAAAGGTCATTGGGTGACCAACATCAATAACAGCCCTTCTTTATGCACCAGAAACAATCACGCGTAGTGTGACTTGATTCCCAGAAAACTGTTAGAGTTATTGAATTTTGAGATGTAAAGCATGTGCAAATGGAAAGTAAATGTAAAATGGTCTCGTGGTGACGCTACAGGTAAGGTTGTTTGGTCACACAAAAGAATAAGGTTCATCCTCTATGCACGAGGAACGAACACAAGAAGTTTTATGTAATACCCATAAAAACCGTTGAGTTATTGCAATTTTAAAATTAAAGGTTTACCCTGGTGGTTGTGCTAGAACAAAGGCCATAGGGTGACCAACATCGATAATAAGTGACCAGAAACATACTAAAGAAGTGTGACATGATTCCTATCAAAACTATTGAGTTATTGCTGGTTATAGGGTCATGCAAAATAATAGAGTTCCTTCTCTATGTACTAGGAATGAACACAAAAAGTTTAATGTGATTCCCATATAAGCTATTTCAACACGAAGGAACTGTGGCAGCAACAACGGCGGCCGAGGCGAATCCATAATATCCCTGAACGCGCTGTTCTGGGGCCATAATTAATTGATCTTTTTCATGAATTTGGCAGTAAGTCTTATCTTAAATTTATAGTCTCATCGCCATGATAATGGGGATTAAGTAGGTCACATGTTTTTCAAAAGTCAGGTGTATTCAACTGCTTCCTTAACACATGAATGAGAGCATAAGAGCTGAAAATGGAACAGTATAGGATTGACAGAGCATCACCAAAGAAGACACACAGCACCTAATTGTGGATTACAGAGCAAACTTCTTTATCCCAAATGTTATGGACCTCATGGTTTTTGCATGCTCTTCCTGTTTAAATCAAGAGGCATTGAGTTATTACCATTTTTCTTGAATTTGGCTCTGTAGTTTAACACATTATTTTCTCAACATTCTAAATTCAAATAGGGCCATCTTGTGGACAAAAGATACTTAAGATAAGATATACTTTATTGAATCCCGTGGGGTAATTCATCCTCTGCATTCAACCCATCTTATAGTTAGGAGAATTGGGCAGCCGCAGAGCTGCGCCCGGGGACCAACTCCTACCAGTACCTTGGTCAGAGGTACTGGTAGGAGCATTCCTATAATGTGGGGGAAACTGGAGTACCCGGAGGGCACCCACATAAACACGGGGAGAACATGCAAACTCCACACAGAAAGGCGCCCCAGGTCGGATTCGAACCCACGATCTGCTTGTTGTGAGGCAGTAGTGCTAACCATGCGCCACCGTACTGCCTTTGTCATTTTTTAAATATATAATATACTATTCTATAATAAAATAATTTTATGAAATAATATACGCCATCACGTGATGCTTAAGATGAAATAGATTAACATTTTACAACAGCACCCATACGAATGTCTTCCAGAATCATATTTAATCTCAAGGCAAAAAATATTAAAGCAGCATTAGAAGCAAGGTGCTTTTTATTCCCCTAGTCAATATTTTGCTTTCATGCTTTAGGTATCTTGTTGGTCTATGGCTCCACTATCAAGACAATCTTGTGATGGAAAAAAGCTACTCACTTGCATTTGTTGAATCATTTCTCTAATCTTATATCATTCAAAAGTAATTTCTGGTTCTTTTAAACTTATATTGCCAGGTGGGTGCCTCAAATACGAGTGAAGGCACTTGTTGTGCTTAAATTAATCATGTCTTTTTCAATAGATTTTTAAATAGCAAATAACGCAGTTTTGTACAGCTATCATAAGTATTGGACCTACGGAACCGACCGGCTAGCCTTAGCCAAGTGCTGTAAGCAACCGCAAAATATCAACTGCTAAATACTTCCATTTCGTAATTCCATGCCTCTGCTACCAAAATAAAAGTTTCTCTCACAGTGGTTTTAAACCTTTCAACAATTATTTATTGCAAGTTCCAAATTGAAGTAATCTAATCTTTTTACTTTTTCATTATTTATTATGTATTCATGATGCAAATGTTAAAATCTAACTTTTTAAAATGTTTATAATCAACCAAAGCTTGCTCTCTCTCTCACACACACACACACACACACACACACACTGATAGAACTGTAGTCCACGATTCAGATCACAGCCAGAGACTGTATAAAAAGATGGACGCAGCGCCCGGGTCTGAAAACTGAGGCCAATGCGGAAATCTCTAAAATTTGCATTCTATTTAATGGCCAGCAGATGGCGATGTCGGTGGTGGCAGAAAGAAGTTCAATCCTATAGAAGTCTATAAGAAAATGACCCTACAATCCCACCTGATTTATTACTTCAATAATGATTTCCCACATTACTTTATGGTGTCTATTGCAAGTTTCAAGTCTCCTTTGATATATTATGATGTTCATTTTTGTAAATTATGGTCCTAAATAGACTAGAATAAAGGATAAACTCAGAATATGCTTTAGGCTATCCTCTGGTCCTCGTCTGATACGGTCTGATCCACCCGTAGATCCACCCTTCGCTCCTCCCTGGATATTCGATTTATGCTCTCGTCCAATTGGAATCACATCTGGTTTCAAAATGACAAAATGGCGCTATTCAAATAGCCAAAATTGAGGCTTCCTAAATGGTATTCTGAAACCAATGGGTGATGTCACGGTTGCTTCGTCCATCTTTTTATACAGTCTATGATCACAGCGATATTATTGCTTAGTTGCAGGAACTCTCAATGTCATCCTCCCTCTCTAAAGTATTTGGCTGAAGAATAAGCTGTTTCTCTGGCTCCTCCTAATGGCAAATCAGTTGTTAATGTTTGCTCGGGAGATTTCCAGTTACAACTGTATGTAGTTTTACTGAAACAGTAGCAAGAGTGTTCTAGCAACAGCTCCTGGAATGAACCCGATCATCCAGTAAGACCAGTTACCAGATGTTGTATGGTGATTTTAGAATGTTCAGATTTCAGTTATTTTGATTCTGCACCTGTGCTTATGCCTCCGATGTTTGGCTTTAACTTTTGCCATGTCCTTGTGGCACCAGGACCTACAGTAATTTTGTTTTTAAAATTTCTTTCTCACACCCGCAGATCTCCTGTTTGTTTTGTTACTGGTATTTGCTGCCAAGAGCGTAACATCATGTGTCTGTCTCTGTCTATACTGCAGATATGGTGCAGTATGTTATGCATGCACCTGTCTTTCTAGTCACACTGTATATCGGCGTGGTAGGTACCAAAATCGAAGGTTTGAAATGTGTCCTGTCAGCAAAAATGCTAAATTAGCATATTTTTCAAAGTGGTAAATGGGAATATAGACAGTTAAAATTTGCTGGAAAAGTTTCATACAAGTAATCTCTTATCCTTTATGTCCATTTATACCAAGTTCCATCGACTAGCTAAAACTCCTTCAGGTAAAAATTGATAGGACAACTATCCTTGATCACAATGAAAATGCTAATTAATCCAAAGGGGTGGCTTTTGATAGTTTTTTACTTAAAGCCTTAAAATATCACGGATCATAAACATTGTATATCGACTTTCTAAGTACCAAAACGTATTTGGACCCTTGACTTCTGTTTGGCTCGACTAAAACAAAAGTCTGAAATACACCACATGACCAAAAATCCTAAATGTAAATTAAACATCAAATGCTAGTGAAGTTTACTTCAAACAATCTGGTTGTACTCCTGAAAAACATATTTACAAAGTGAAACCAATTAGTTCTATCTCCTTTACTAGGAAATTTATGATCTCTCTATATTACAAATTGTCCAGCGTCATCAATAATGCATCTTAAAATTGCTCATCTTGAAGTCTTGATATTTTTTTAAATTAGAAATATTAATGCACCAATTTATTTTAAATACTAAGTAACATGGCTTTAATTGTGGTATAGTGTAACCTGCTACCAATATCTGTTTAACTTTTATGGGGTTTTTTTAAAGCGTGTATCTCAAAAACTATTGCACCATTGGCGCTGAAATTTGGGCAACTCATTATTGGTCCTAAGGGCTATTCTTAAAATAGGTTTCACGGAAATCAGAGGGGGTAAGGCCGGGAGCCCTGTTCAGTTTGGCGTGGAATGACCCTTTAGTGGACTCTAAACTATTTGCCAAACCTCCCAATTTACAACCCCAATTCCGAAATAGTTGGGACGAAGTGTAAATTGTGAATAAAATCTAAATGCAATGACTTTCAGATCACATGAGCCAAATGTTATTTACAAGGGAACATAGTTAACATTTCAAATGTTGAAACTGAGACATTTTACATTTTTATCCACAAAATGAGCTTATTTCAAATTTTCTGGCTGCAACAGGTCTCAAAAAAAGTTGGGACACAGGCAAAAAAGGGCTGAAAAAGCAATAAATATACAAGAGAATCAGCTGAAAGAACATTTAGCAAGTAATTAAGTTAACTGGCATCAGGTGTGTAACATGATTGGCTATAAAAGGGATGTCTTAGAGAGGCTGAGTCTCTCAGAAGTAAAGATGGCCAGAGGCTCTCCAACCGGTGAAGGCTTGCATAAAAATGTTGTGGAATACTTTAAAAACAATGTTTCTCAACCTCAAATTGCAAAGGCTTTGAAGGTCTCATCATCAACAGAGCATAACATCATCAAAAGATTCAGAGACACTGGAAAAATCTCTGTGCATAGGGACAAGGCCGAAGACCTTTACTGGATGCCCATGATCTTCGGGCCCTCAGACGCCACTGCATCACTCACCGGCATGATTCTGTCATTGACATTACTAAATGGTCCCAGGAATATTTCAAGAAACCCCTGTCTGTAAACACAGTCCACCGTGCCATCCACAGATGCCACCTAAAACTTTATCATGCAAAAAGGAAGCCATTGTTGAGCATGATCCAGAAGCGCCGCCGTATTCTGTGGGCCAAGGCTCTTTTAAAATGGACTGTAGCAAAGTGGCAAAGTGTACTGTGGTCAGACGAGTCCAAATTTGACATTCTTGTTGGAAATCATGGGCGTCGTGTCTTCCGGGCTAAAGAGGAGAAAGACCACCCCTCCTGTTATCAGCATTCAGTTCAAAAGCCAGCATCTCTGATGGTATGGGGATGCATTAGTGCATATGGTGTGGGACACTTGCATGTTTTAAAAAGCTCCATGAATGCTGAAAGGTATATAAAGTTTTTAGAGCAACATATGCTCCCCCCCAGGGCAATCAATTTTTATGACCACATGAAAACAAGTGACCCCAACTCTTACCATTGCAAAGCCCTCCAATGCCATGAGGAGAACATAGAGAGGAGACCCCTCAACCAGCTGATCCTGAGTCTCACCTCTTCTGACAGCACAAGGCCTCAAGACAGCCTTCACACAATCTGGCCAAATCAAATTATAGCTAAAGAAAAAGAAAATTGCATTAACTATTAGACATCTACCTCAAAAAATCAATACAAAATCAAATGCTATTTGGCTCTAAACAGACAGTACACAGTATCAGATTTTCCAACCACTGTGACTGATGAGAAACTGAGGAAGACCTTAACTACATACAGACTCAGCGATCATAGCCTGGCCGTAGAGACCGGCCGGCTCAGGCAGAATTGGCTCGCTACAGAAGACAGACTGAGTCAGCTCTGTCCACAGAGAGAGGTAGAAACAGAGCAACATTTCCTGCTACCCTGTAGCACATACAGTGCCGTGGAAAAGTATTTGCCCCCTTCCTGATTTCTTTTTTTTTTGCATATTTGTCACACTTTCAGATCAGCAAATAAATTTTAATATTAGACAAAGACAACCCAAGTAAATACAAAATGCAGTTTTAAATTATGATTTTATTTATTAAGGGGAAGAAGCTATCCAAACCTACCTGGCCTGGTGTGAAAAGGTAATTGCTCCCTAAACCTAATAACTGGTTGTGCCACCCTCTGCGACAACAACTGCAATCAAGTGTTAGCGATAACTGGCAATGAGTCTATCACATTGCTGTGGAGGAATTGTGGCCCACTCTCCTTTGCAGAATGTTTTAATTCAGCCACACTGGAGGGTTTTTGAGCATGAACGGCCTGTTTAAGGTCATGCCACAGCATCACAATCGGATTTAAGTCCGGACTTTGCTTAGGCCGCTCCAAAACCTTCAGTTAGTTTTTTTAAGCCATTCAGAGGTGGACTTGCTAGTGTGTTTCGGATCATTGTCCTGCTGCATAACCCAAGTGCGCTTGAGCTTGAGGTCACCAACTGATGGTTGGACATTCTCCTTCAGGATTTTCCGGTAGAGAGCAGAATTCATAGTTCCATCAATTCCGACAAGTCGTCCAGGTCCTGAAACAGCAAAGCTACCCCAAACCATCACACTACCACCAC